TATTGTCAATCAGTTTCCTCTTTTTCTTTTTAATTTGCTGTGTTTTCTTTCGTCAGTCATTACCCTTTGTTCAAAGTTTAACACCAATCTCTGTACAAGACCCAAGAATCCCTCGTGATAGAGGTTTACAGCCTAAGAGGCAGAGTTTATGCGGATATATAGGGAAAATAACAGATAACCCTAGACTTAAATAGGTTATCTATTTGTTATGGTCCGGTTCCTTGTATCACGGTGATAGTCCAAGGTAGAACCAATAAAGAAGAACTCGAACACGGATATGGAATAACACACATATATTACAAACAGAAATATATACAGAGAAGTAGAAAGTGTTAGTACGAACAATCAGCTCTGTCTGACTGACTGACTGACAGACTCCCGACGAACCTTACTCCAGACTTCAGACTGAACGGTATTTAGTCCCCCCCACCACCACGAGGGCATCATGTGGCACAAGGCCGGTTTCACGTGGGATCTCCGAGCCCGTGGGCTCGGCCAAAAATATACCCTTTGAACCTGTATAAACAGGTTCAGGGTCGGTTTACCTCCCCGAAAGCGACTCCGCCCTTCGACGGAGCCTCGTTCGGGTTCCTCCCCGCCCGAAGACAGAGAGTTCAACCGATCAGCCGGTCAGCCGGTCGTCCGACTTCGGACTGAACTCCCTGCTTCCTCTTGAGGCGCAGTATTTATTACGTATGGAATAGTCCATTATGTTATTATAGGTAAGGTCCCATAAAACTATTTAAGTCTAGGTTTAACTAGAATAATTATTTACTTATTCAACTTATCAATTTACAGTTGAGGTGACTAGATCTAGCCGTAAATTCTATGCTAACAGTTTCTTCTGTCGCACTTCTCACTTGTGGATCTCCCTTCCGGCTCTATGCTTTTCAGCCCAGTTTAATCTGCTAGAATTTAAATCCAATGTCAATCGCTATCTACAGCCCACCTAATTACTCTAACTCTAATTCTTCCACACCCTGTAACCTATTGTGTTTTAGTGGCAATAATCACACAAAAAAGATTATCCGTGAATATGAAAGCATCCTATCGAGAATAAGTAGACAGAACATATCTAAATTATTCAGCGAAACATACCTCAATATATATATATATATATATATATATATATATATATATATATATATATATATCTGACTGAATAAATTACAAACGTTATGTCTGCTTATTTTTATCATAATCCTTATATATTGTATATTACAATTAAATAAGGCAAAAAATGCACCGTAATGCCTTATTTAATTGTAATGTGTAATGTAATGTTTTATGTATTTATATATGTATGTAATGTTGTATGTATGTAATGTATGTAATGTGGTATGTAATGCTGTATTCGTGAATATGAAAGGATTATGATAAAAATAAAAAGACATGATGTTTGTAATTTATTCAATTATACACACACACACACACACACACACACACAGACATATATATATATATATATATGACCAATGTATATTTGGGCAGCAACCATTCTTTTAAACACCAAATGATTCCGATTAAAAGAAAATTTAAAAGGTTAAGATTATAATGATCAGGGAATCGGTTCCACAAAGCAACTGTTCGTATGAAGTAGTTGCTCAAGTGGAACTTACATCTCACCAATAGAATACGAAGGGAATAAGCCTGGTTTGTTACTATGCGCGTAGCCTAGCGGGGGCGATCTTAGCCCTGAAGGGTAGAACTGGTGGGACTAAGGAATGTAGTTCGTCTGAGCACTTTCCATGGAAATAGCGATAGATCAGCGAGTGACTTGCAACGTTTTGTCTGTGGGAAAGAGGTTGTACAGTGGAAAATAATTCATCACCCACAAGGACGCATAGACGCTTATAGGCTGGAAAGTGAAGATTGGGCAGCTCCTGCAAATATATGACAGCAGTACCCCATTTTCGACCGATTGGGTTCTTGTAAAGTGTTGAAACTTGACTAATGCATGGAATAATAATGCAACACAAAATGTACTTAGAAGTATTGAAACAAGAAAGTGTACACAATATTTACATATAGTCTTTTGTATATTCCTGGTAAGACCGTTCCTGGAGAATGTGTTGACTTAGTCGCAGTCGGGCAGAGTCTCGGGTTGAATCTCTTGATTCCTCCCTCTCTTCCCCCGGTACCAACCATATTTATATGGTCGGTACTCCACTATGCAAATTAGGTGGATCCTACCACAACATAAAGTTAGAGAACAGTAGGAGGATTTAGGTACTTACTGGCATCTATTAGATATGGTACGTGGAACTAGAACAGTCTACCCCAGCGAGGGAAATAAAAGAATTCAGTTTAGACATTCCAACCACCTGAAGAAGGAGAGTACAAGGGCCGAAATGTTGTAATAAATATGGCGACAAAGACGAGGAAAATAGTCCGAATAATGTAAATAGTGTATCGTATGTATATCATGAAGTCTGGGTTGAGCTAGAGTCTCAATAGGCGCTCATGGCACGGAGCCACTCTGATAGGGCACTCGATCCTTGCGGGAAGAGAAAATTCAGGGCTCACTCCTCCTTTGTTGGGTAACCTTGGCTCGATTGATTAATTAGTCTCTTCTTTGTATTGTTTAAAATTTGCAGGTTTATTTAAAACCATGGTTGCCAAGCACATAGTCCGAATTGGTATTCAACCTATAACAGTGGGGGTGGGGAGATAGATTTAAACCTTTCCCAAAGGGTATTTGCGAGTAAGTGAACGTAACGAACGCAGCTGGAAATCGAACCCTGGGCTCCGATTTCGCATATTGAGCCGTTATTCATTACTTCACACCGTATATATATTTTTTTATAAAGAAAATTTATATCCCATTCTCACCGTTCTCAAAGAGTTTTCCGTCAAAGTGAACGTAATGAACTTGATTGGAATTCGAACTCGTCAATTTCTCTAACATTTACTCTATCTGCAGATATAATACATTTGGTTATGTAATCCTGACAGAATTATAACTTATTGACATTTGGAAAAACGTTCATGAAAAAAAAAAGAAGATCTAATTAATATAAAACACACAGAAATGCATACACACACAACACCTATTTTCATTATCCATCTGATGAAGCCATATAGGCGAAATTCATTATCGGATATTATTTTCGAAATATACTTTCATGAAAATAACTTATAAGATCTACTATAATAACTACGGACATTAAACTGGCATGGACAACACCATACGATCTAATTTTTAAGGAATGAACATTTTAAATTTATAATCCAACGTTATTTTTTTTCCTACTATATTTGTGCTCGTCCCCCACTTTCTTTGGTTCTCACGATCGTTACGTCCTGACTATTCCTCATAAATAATGGACTATTTCGTTTTGATCGCGCGGAATTAGGTGAAAAGACGCTACTTGGTTTCAGTGAGAAAACGAAAGAAAGAAAGAGGTGTGTTTAACGACTGTTTCCGTGAATTGGTAAAAATTGTCGATTTCAGATCTTTGCATTTGTACCCACTTCTTAAAATAACGATCAGTATTCATATTCATGTTTGTTAAAGAAAAAGAAAAAAATAATCTACATGAAATCAGCTAGATTATATGACGCGTTCAGCAGAGAAAAAAATTACAAAAATAAATAAATAAATAAATAAAATTAAATTAAAACTTCATCGTAGCACCTTGTCAGTCATTTTAACGAAACTATATATATATATATATATATATATATATATATATATATATATATATATATAGCATAATGAGAAGCCACGTATACTTTCTTAATATGGATATATAGAAAAAGTTTCAAATTAAAAAATAATAATGTTTTATTTTATGAAAGTATTTATTTATTTATTTATATACATATGATATTTCAAATTGTCCTCAAGAGAGACAGTTATTTCTGATGAAAAATTGAGGACAATTTGAAATATCATATATATATATAAATAAATAAATACTTTCATAAAATAAAACATTATTATTTTTTAATTTGAAACTTTTATATATATATATATATATATATATATATATATATATATATATATGAATGAACGAATGGCGCTGCTGAAAAATGTAAAAATCATGCAGTATAATTCAAACTGGCCGGAACTCCAGCCCTAACTTGATGCATGATGGAGGGATACAAATTGAGACATTTTTTTAAATCATGCGATCCTCAGTATCTACATCAACGAAAAACTTCTTTGTTACCATTTGCTCTCTTGTTGTAGGTATGTTTCATCTACGGTAACTGGTAATAGATGTGGACTTAGTAAAGTCATGCCTTTTCAGCTGTTTTGAATGCCATCGATTTTTATCAACTTTCTTGCAACGTTGCTTTTGATGTTACCCGCAAGCTATTAGGCTCCCGTTGTCAAATTTCAAATCTTTGTTGATATCTTGGCTTGTTTCTTGCACTGACTGATCTTTGGACATACTCTCTTGGGTTAGAATGTTGTTCGATTTTGTTTGTGTCACTAAACATCATTGCTTTCCATTTTTTCATTACCCCGTAACAGATGTTCATTTGTCCCATCATTCCAGCTTCTTTGATGTCTTTTGATTAGTGAGGCTTTTTTTTTTAAAATGAAATACGTTCATTTAGATTATTTCTATGTAATATCCATATTGTATGAACTGGTGCTTCACTATTAACGCTGCTTTTATCCATTATTTGATGAGCCGTTAACATTGGATTGAATATTGATAACATAACCAGTTTTCTTTGATCTCTTTTCGTATAATTTTGAAGTTCATCGCGTCTTTTTCGTGTTGAAAACGCTCCCAACATCAGCAGGCTTCTTTTGAACGATTTTGGACAGAGATTCTCGATATGAAAATCTCTTTGGTCATTGCACATTAACTAATTCTTTGTGTCATTTTCAAATGGTTTTTGTATCCGCTTCTGTAAGTACGTTCTTATGCAATTTAAATTAACTCCCCTAAAATAAAATATAGTTAAACGTTTCAAAATTATACAATCGGTGTTAGGCTCATTCAATTTAAATTTGGCCATCTTAATCTATGAAAACAAGGTTAAGAGTGAATAGAGTAGGGATTGTAGGAGAGAGAGAGAGAGAGAGAGAGAGAGAGAGAGAGACAAAAGGAGCGAAAGTGAGACAAGATATTGAAAGAAAGGGACAAAAGGAGCGATTGGGAGAGAGTGGGAAAGAGAGAAAAAAGGAGCGAATAAGAGAGAGATGGAAAGAGAGAGGCAAAAGGAGCGAAAAATAGATAGATAGATAGATAGATAGATAGATAGACAGACAAAAGGAGCGATAGTGAGACAAGAAATTGAAAGAAGGGAAAAAAAGGAGCGATTGGGAGAGATTGGGAAAGAGAGAGAAAAAAAGGAGCGAACAAGAGAGAGATGGAAAGAGAGAGGCAAAAGGAGCGAAAGAGAGAGAGAGAGAGAGAGAGAGAGACAGACAAAAGGAGCGAAATTGAGACAAAAAAATTGAAAGAAAGGAACAAAAGGAGCGATTGGGAGAGATTGGTAAAGAGAGAGAAAAAAGGAGCAAATAAGAGAGAGATGGAAAGAGTGAAGCAAAAGGAGCGAAAGAGATAGATAGATAGATAGATAGATAGATAGATATTGAAGAGAATGAGATAGATAGATAGATAGATAGATAGATAGATAGATAGATAGACAAAAGGAGCGAAAGTGAGACAAGAAATTGAAAGAAAGGGACAAAAGGGGCGATTGGGAGAGAGTGGGAAAGAGAGAGAAAAAAGGAGCGAATAAGAGAGAGATGGAAAGAGAAAGGCAAAAGGTGCGAAAGAGATAGATAGATAGATAGATAGATATTGAAGAGAATGAGATAGATAGATAGATAGATAGATAGATAGACAAAAGGAGCGAAAGTGAGACAAGAAATTGAAAGAAAGGGACAAAAGGGCGATTGGGAGAGAGTGGGAAAAGAGAGAAAAAAGGAGCGAATAAGAGAGAGATGGAAAGAGAAAGGCAAAGGTGCGAAAAAAGATATATATATATATATATATATATATATATATATATATATATATATATATATATAGATAGATAGATAGATAGATAGATAGACAGACAAAAGGAGCGAAAGTGAGACAAGAAATTGAAAGAAAGGAACAAAAAGGAGCGATTGGGAGAGAGGGAAAAGAGAAAAAAGGAACGAATAAGAGAGAGATGGAAAGAGAGCGGCAAAAGGAGTGGGAAAGAGAGAGAGAGAGAGAGAGAGGGAGAGAGAGAGATTGAGAGAGAGAGAGACAGAAAGAGCCAAAGAGAGAAGAAAGGTGAAAGAGAGGAATAAAAAGAGATAAACTTTTCAGACTGACCTCGTAGGGCAGTTCCTCGGCTTTTTACTACTGGGTAGCTATTATTTAAATATCTTTCCGAGAGCCTTGTTTCAATGAAAGCTTAGATGCTTTCAAATTGTCATTTTCAGATATTTTTTTATCAGATCGCTGATTTGTTTTACTAACTTTTCAAAAAGTCAATATAGAAAGAATTTGAATTCGCGAGAAATCCACTATTTTCTCATTAGAAAAATACTCAGAAAATCGAATGGAAAGTTTCTACTTCAATAAAAAAAAATAAGTTCTTTTTTCTTCAGTGTGATCTTCCTCATTGCTGTCGGAGCACTTAGAACGGTGACGAAGTTCTTTGAGGTGACAATCAATCATCGGACTCTATGGAATGGCTTGAAAGAATCACAAAGTATCTATATATAAAATTCTGTAACTTTCGTTAGTCTGTCCGTCAAATCCTCTAAAACAGCCATATATTGATATATATTATTTTGGGGAGTAGTTCAAACAGATACAAATTACAGTTGGTTATACTAAGGCGCAAAGCTTAGTACAATAAATGTTTATTAATTTTTGGGAAAAATTATATGTTTTATTATTTAACATACAAAATACTCTCACTATTTTAAAAAAACAATTTAATGATTAAAATAAAAATAGTTATTTAATAAAAATGCAATAGATTTTGTATATCTTTTCTTTAAGTTCTATATATACAAGAATCCAGTTTCCAGTTCGCTCTGCATTTGCGAGAATTATAAACAAATCGCAAGGCCAAACGCTTCAAAATGTAGCTCCAGAAAGAAATATTTAGACATGGCCAGTTGTATGCTGCATGCTTAAAAGTAAGAAATCCTAAGAATTTATTCTTCGCTTTGAAAAAGGAAAATTATTAAACCTCGAAGAGTATTTTGTCAAAGTATTTTTTCAACCAAATCGGCTTATTCAAATTTCATCGCTTGGTATGCGAAATTGAACGAAACGTCGAGTTTGTAAATCTTAACAAAAATGGTAGCAATAATTTCAACAAAACTAAATACTGTGAGTATTTCGAAACGTGTGTGGTAAAAAATCATAGCGAATAAAAACCGCAAATCCCTTCAAGACTTGTTTGAAACATTTAATTACAATTGCAAAATAACAAGAAATATAAGTTTACACAATTTACATTCGAACTATTGTCCTCATTTTTGTTCTTGTCACCACAACGTATCGACTGATGTGTCCTCCTTCATCAGGTGTATATCGATGTCAGTAACCTAGGGGGAATTCTGAACTGAACTGTTTATTTAATCTATGTACATGTAGAGGGATATCTGGTCTAGTTTTTTTTTTTTTTTTTTTTTAGTACTTCACGCTTATTGATCTTCCTGTTAACCAGCGAGGCAAAGTATACATTGCCCGGCCGAGGAATTGAAATCAAATTTAAAGTAATTCACGAACCATCGTAATCAATTATAGTATTTCACCAAATTCACCAACTAACGCTTTAAGCCACGAGGCCAGCGGTCACAATTTTATTGCGCTACACGGACCGGGTGTCAAGTAAAACAATTTTTCCTATGGACTGAAGGGACGGTAGGTCTCTCTCGTGCGCATAAGAAGGGACAATAAACACGAGCACGATAGTCAATAAAATGTAAAAAAAAAGTTGTTATATTTTTTTGTCCACGGTCCTGTACCAAATTGTCCAAGCTCCAGTTCGAAATAGTCCATAGCCTGGTACCAAAGGATCCACGGCGCAGCAACAAATGGTCCAAGGCCCAGTACCAAATAGCCCGTGACCCGGTATCAAATAGTCCATGGTCAAGCACCAAATGGTCCATGGCCCAGTACGAAATGGTTCATTGACTAGTACCAAATTGTCCATGGTCCGGTACGAAATGGTCCAAGGCCCAGTACCAAATGATCCATGACCCGGTATCAAATGGTCCACAGTCAGGTACCAAATGGTCCAAGGACCAGTACTAAATGGTTCATGGCCTGGTATCAAATGGTCCACGGTCAGGTACGAAATGGTCCAAGGCCCAGTACCAAATGATCCATGACCCGGTATCAAATGGTCCACAGTCAGGTACACAATGGTCCAAGGACCAGTACTAAATGGTTCATGGCCTGGTATCAAATGGTCCACGGTCAGGTACACAATGGTCCAAGGCCCAGTACCAAATGATTCATGACCCGGTATCAAATGGTCCACGGACAGGTACCAAATATTCCAAGGGCTGGTACCAAATGGTGCATGGCTCAGTACCAAATGGTCCACAGCCCGGTACCAAATAGTCCATGACCTGGTATCAAATGGTTCACGGTCAGGTTTCAAATGGTGGACGGCCCCGTACCAAAATGGTCCGCGGTCAAAGGAGTCACAGTGTATGATTAAAAATGAGGAGATCGATGGCACACGTCCATACTCAGTAGGAGAAAGGGTATGGTGTGAAAAGTCCCGACACCCCTAATGAACCTTACTGATAATGGGTACCAAAGCATCAAACTGATATATTTCATGAATTAATCTTTTAAGAATAGTGTTTTTGGTTAGTGGAATTTTATTCCATATATACCAACCTAGTACTTGAATTATCATGTCATCCCATAAGTTCTGTTCGAATTTTAACTTTTTGTTAAAATGAACGAAATTTAAAGAGTATTTTATAATGTCTAATGGAGCTGAACATTATTTTTATGCTGAGATGCATTTAAACTGATCAAATTTTATTTCAGAGAATAATAAAATTAATTTTTTTTTATTAAAAACCTGATAACATGGAAGTACCCAAGAATCATTTGAGGCACATAATGCTTTATGAGTTCAAGAAAGGAAACTCAGCAGCCGAAGTGGCTAGAAACATTCACTCAGTTTATGGAGAGGAATGTGTGAATGAAAGAACTTGCAGAAGATGGTTTGCAAAATTCAGAGGTGGAGATTTCACACTTGAAGATGAAGATCGAACCGGACGTCCAGTTGAGTTTGATGAAAAGCTTGTTGAAGCAGCCCTTGAAGAAAATCCTGCTTTATCAGTTGAGGAATTGGCAGTGTTTCTCAGTTGAAACCATACAACTGTTCATCGTCATCTTCAACAACTTGGAAAAGTTCCTAAACTTGGAAAATGGGTGCCTCATGAATTGTCTGAAAACAACCTCAAATCTCGAGTTGACATCTGCTCTTCTCTCCATTCTCGCCAACTTTTTTCACCTTTTTTGGATAGACTTGTGACTGGCGACGAACAATGGATCTTTTATCGAAATGTTAAGCGTCGTAGACAGTGGCTTGGTAAAGGGGAAGGACCCCAGCCACAGCCGAGAAGGTAACTTCATGGGCAAAAGGTTCTTCTTTCAATCTGGTGGGATCGCCGAGGAATAATCCACTTTGAATTCTTACCATCTAATGCAAAAATTAATGCTCAAATATACTGTCAGCAATTAGAGCGTTTGAACCAAGCTTTGAGGAAAAAAAGACCTGCTCTAGTGAATCGAAAAGAGGTGATGTTTCATCAGAACAATGCTCGACCCCACACGGCAAGAATCACGTCACAAAAGATCGAAGAACTTGGTTGTGAGAAAATTCCTCATCCACGTTATTCTCCAGATCTTGCTCCTTCAGACTACCATTTGTTTCGTAGCTTACAGAATCATTTGGAAGAAACAGCTTTTGTAACACAGGAAGAGGTTAAAACTGACATTTGGTAATTTTTCGAATCCAAAGCCAAAAGAATTTTACAGTAATGGAATTTATAAGCTTGTTAATAGATGGAAGGAAGTCATAGATAATCAGGGAAAATACATTGTTGATTGAATCTGTAATTAAATGTAACATTTGGTCACTTGTTTTCTTTATTCAAAATTCGGACAGAACTTATGGGATGACCTTAAAATATATATATATATATATATATATAGAATTTATCCGAAAATTATAACATTTGCTCTCTATTGAGCACTCTTTTAAGAATAGTATTTTTTGGTTGTTGGAATTTATTCCGTATACACCAATCCTATACTTGTATATATATATATATATATATATATATATATATATATATATATATAAAAGTAAAGTAGAACAAAAAAAGTAAAAAAGTGAAGAGAATTAAAACTGTTAGTCTAGAATTTACGGCTACATATAGTCAGCTCAACTGTAAATTGATTAGAACTAGACGCAAGATCGATAGATATTGAAGAGTATGAGATAGATAGATAGATAGATAGACAGACAGATAGATATTGAAGAGACTCACATAGATAGATAGATAGATAGATAGATAGATAGATATTGAAGAGAATGTGATAGATAGATAGATAGATAGATAGATATTGAAGAGAATGTCATAGATAGATAGATAGATAGATAGATAGATAGATAGATAGATAGATAGATAGATAGATAGATGTTCCTCGTCGGCCATTATGTCTTCAAATTCTGATCGCCTGCTTTACTGGATAGCACTTCTGCTTGGCTGACAATATATCAGAATGATATATTTATGGTTGAATGATATTTCCACAACGTCAGCTGTGATATTTCTGGTGCTGTCATATCTTTGAGTGGTCCAAGTTAATTTCTTGTCAACAATGATTATGTTTCGGGTGTTGTTTTCTCTTTGATTGATTCAAATTGAATTCCTTTTAATCAAATCATGCTTGCACTTCGTTGCTGTTTTCTACCTGGTAGCATATAAAGACTTCTTTGTCGCACACAAAGCAGTTCGTCCACGTCGCCTTGTATCCTTCGCCCGTATTTGATAATGATTCATTACAATGTCATGGTTGTCAACGAGTGACAAACAAATTTCGTAGACGATTTACCTGGTATTTCAAATAAAAATAATAATAAATTTGTACTAATCAGCATAAAAGTACAGTTATTTGTATATATATATATATATACAAATATATATATATATATATATATATATATTTAAATTCCCAGAGGAATTATATATATATATACTGGTATTTCACACATAAATGATAATAAATTTGTACTAATCAGCATATAAATACAGTTATATATATATATATATATATATATATATATATATATATATATATATATATATATATATATATATATAACAAGACTCGTTTCGAAAAACCCTCGAATTTTTGATTTGCTAATCAAATCAATCTCGAGGAAAAAAGGTTTTAAAAAAAAGAAAGAGCTACAAACATGAACTTCTGCCGACAAAAAATCGCACAGATGCAGGTCTGAAGCCCAAAGAAAAAAACCCGATACGAGTAACAACTAACAAAAGAGCTCAATACAACCGTAGAGCAGACCTAGATACACATAGTAAGCCAGACAAACCTACCTAGGTTTCACCTAAACGGATCGTCAGGAAAGTTTGGCTTTCCCTGACGATCCGTTTAAGGAAACCTAGGTAGGTTTGTCTGGCTCACTAGGTGTATCTATATATATATATATATATATATATATATATATATATATATAATTGTATTTATATACAGTTATTTGTGTATATATATATATATATATATATATATATATATATATATATATATATATATATATATATATATATAATCGACTCTCCTGTCGAGATTCGACGTTTGAGGGTCAAGTAGACCAGTTTCAGGAAACCGACAACCCGACACCGGCACATGAGATTTGATTATAGTGGTGAAGGTTTCGTGCAGGACCATCCACACTTTTTGAAGGGACGAATACAGAGACCTGGTGCACCGTTCATGTTTGTAGCTCTTTCTTTTTTTAAAACCTTTTTTTCCCTCGAGATTGATTTGATTATTGACAAATCAAAAATTCGAGGGTTTTTCGAAACGAGTCTAGTTATCTATCTATCTATCTATCTATCTATATATATATATATATATATATATATATAAATTCATTTATGTATAGCTGGCCACCCGTATTCGAGAATACCCAGGAGCATTTGTGTTTGTTCAACACCCACAGAGCCTACCTGTGCTTTCTAATGCAACTATGTTTATCAGAGCGTGTTATCTAGGCCAGCACCCTTAAACCCTCGGCCAGGATGACTTGTGACTTCGTGCTAGCACAGCTATCGACGCCCCTCCCAAGGGTTCCGTCTACCCAATTTCATTCACAAGGCTTGGGTCAACCCGTGGTATTGTTTTTAGGACCTTTCTGGGATCGACCCCTCTAGTCCGATAAACATGAGTTAAGATCTCGTTTGGAAACATTGAAATGCCAGAATCACTCTCTTAAAGACAACCAGATTTGTCTCTCTTGATACGCCGTGTAAGCAAATGCTTCCATCGCGAGACAGAGACGATCGACAGATGTTGGAGATGCAGATAAGCAAATTCCACCGGTTCTGCTTCAATTCCATCCATTCGGTACGCCGCCATATCTTCTAATAATCATGCAGAACACGTTGCAGTGATCGCAGCTGGTAAGAGGAAGCCTAATCGCTTTACGCCAGTCAGATAAAAAGCCGATCGTTCTTTAAACATGCGCCAATAACTCAGCTACTTGCGTGTTTGGCCCGTCATAGGCGGGCAAAGGAGAACGTTTTATGGTTAAACCTACGTATTACTCGCCGAAAGGATATAAAGAAAAATTTTAAATATATATATATATATATATATATATATATATATATATATATATATATATATATATATATATAATTATTTATTTAAAATCTTCAATCTTCAAGCGAGATTTTTTTTGAATCAATTTTGGATTCCAAAAAAATTTCGCTTGAAGATGGAACAAACTTATTTTAACTCAATTTAATTTAAATAATTATATTGAAGTTTTCGGCTCTTGTTTTGAAAAATGAGACTTCTTATGTAGCGTTTTGGAATCATATTTTTAAATAAATAATTATATTTATGCTCTACTTTTGTATCGAGCACTATTTAAAAAAAAAATAATAACTAAAATACTAAGGGACTTTGGATTATTTACCTAACCAGTTCCTTCCTATTTTCTATATATATATATATATATATATATATATATAATTATGAACCTAAAGATCCAGGCAAATCTACCTATGTTTCACCGACGCGGATCGTCAGGGTACGCTTGGTCAAAGAGGTAACATTAGAACAGAATATAAATAGCCTACAATATAAAACAACCATGACCATGTGACTAACCCCCGCCCCCGCCAAAACGTCCCCCAAAACAAATAAAGAGTAACACAACAACGGGAGGGGTTAATACATATTTGTTCAATAAGGCAAAGGATATATATATATATATATATATATATACTTTTTAGTTAATTTGACCCAAGAAAGGCGATAACGCAAGGGGCTACTGGGAGTGGACGCAAGGAGTTACTGGAAGTAAATCATCATTTTGTGGCCTCAGCCGAGATTGAACTCACCAATACTTTGATTAGTGTAGTTCATAATCTTGTCAAAATAGCTGAATTCTTGATGCTTCGTTAGGGCTATCAAGGGTGTTTTTATCGTGACACCAACACTAAATGGATTACCAACCAAGGCTCAGAGAGACTCCATTCACCCTCCTCTAAGAGCAGGTTTGAATTCAGAGTTTTCCTTCTCCTAGACCAGTTGCCATCTAAGGCTATAGAACCTAGTCTGTTCTGCTATTTACCCATAGCTGGAGGGAGAAGAAAGAGGATTCACACCTTTCCCAAGAGTGTTAGCACGTAAGTGAATGTAATGGATTCGACTGGAATTCGAACGCGGCTTTCCGATTCCTCAATCCAAGCCGCTATCCATTACTCCACCGTGCCTCCTATTCCTTTAGAAGGAACTGGGAACCTAATCCTAAACAGGAAACAAAGGATAAACCTCTACTCCTGTTCAAAAAATAAGGGAGGAGTGAGAACCGGACGATAAGCGAAACTATTTGTCTATATTTCTGACAGTGTTAGGATTTACACGCTTTACATTTTTCGGACATTTCTACTCATGTTTATTGTTATATTCACGACGTTTCTGATGTTTCGCCATCTTGAAATCATTTGTCGTAAGAATCACTGACAAAAAGCCTTTGCGCTAGAAAGATAATACGTTAAAATAGTTTTGTGTCAGCCCCTTTTTGTCTTCTCAACTGAGCAATGGATAGAGGAAAAAGATCATTCAGGCCTTCAGTAATGGTACCAACAAAAGAAACTTTAAATTTAATATACAAGGTGATTGAAAAATAACTCCCTATTTTATGTATGACGGGAGAGTCTATCTTAAATAAAATAAGGAGTTACTTTTCAATCACCTTGTATATATATTTTAATATGTTTTAGGCATATAATCTCGCCTAATTCATTTAGATTCTTTTATCGCGGTGTTAGCGCAGTTATATATATTATACAGGGATTGCATATCTGGGACTCATCAGCAGTGTGCATCCCCTAGCAAGAATCGAACCCGGACCGTTTTGATACAATGCAAAAGTCATACCAACTGTAACCACAGGCCTCGGCGGCGAAGAAGACGCAAACTAGACTCGATATAGCGCCGCTACTTACTCAGTTCCGCAGCGATACTCATCCAAGTATTCAGATAACCTCGGAACAGTGACCCAAAATTAATCACTTGTATAACCTTGCTAGACCCAGCTAATGCTCTGCGATGGAGCGGCTAAGGGTCAAAAAACAGTCGTGGCTCTTGGGGCACTGTTCCGAGGTTATCTGAAGACCTGGATGAGTATCGCTGCGGAACTGAGTAAGTAGCGACGCTATATCGGGTCTAGTTTGTGCCGTCTTCGTCACTGAAGCCCGTAGTACAGTTGGTATGTCGATGTCGTTGGATCGAAACGGTCCGGGTTCGATTCTCGTTAGCGGATGCACATTGTTGATGAGTCCCAGATAGGATGAAACGGCCGTCCAGTGCTTTCTGCATTCTGTTGAGGATGTTTATAGACTCATTGCTATAATCCTAAATCCCCAAATTAATTATATATATATATATATATATATATATATATATATATATATATAAATTCCGTTTATTTTAAATGTCAAATATGATTTTTTTTTAAATTAAGAAAAAATTGTAATCCCAGCATAATATATAACAGTACCAACATTGTGATGACAGGATATATTCTTTTAAATTCAAATGACGTAACGGTCAGTCCATATTCAGCATCTTAAGATTGCGTTGTCCATGGAACTCCTAGTTGTGCTAACGGTGACGGATAATATGTATAGTGGTAGAATCTCTGGCCGATGCCAAATAGGTTGGGTTTCGATCCCGGCTTAAAACAATTGGATGAGTAGCCACACAGATAAGCTGTGTCTGTGGATGACTATTTATGCTCTCGAAATAATTCGATTGAGCACTTAGCGAGGAAGAGGTGATTTTAAAAACTGTGGCTGCTGCTGCTAATGCAATGCTCTTCTACACGAATCGAGCTCTCTTAGTTACTGACGTCTTTCGTATAGTAAAAACGTTAAAATTTCTATTTCTCTTTGCC